ATACAATCACATAAATACTAATTACTTTCATTGTTATTGAGATATAAAATGATGAATAAGTTTAACCCAAATTGTTTGACGCTAGTTCAAAAGTAATGTAAATAACACTGTTAAGTGAAGTGGAAATGGCTATTCTTTGTAAAAATGTTAGAGAACCAGACGTCAGGTTTGATTCTGAAGAAAGCTTTAGATAGCTGAAATTGAGTTCTATCAGATTTTATATCAAATATATAGACAACTGCAACCGTTTTAAAAAATGTTCTTACCTAAAGTCATTGAAAACAATATCAGAGCATGTTCCACCATTTTCACAAGGTTGATCTTGACAAACATCACGTGTTGAAACAGCTCCTTCAGTCAGGTTGAACATGGTCAGAGCTGGCTGGGAAGAATTAGTTTTAGGAAAAAATTCAAATTTCTTTTTGTTGATTTCAATATCTTGAATAATACCTTCAAACTCATTGGTTGAGGAGAAATCTGTAATGCTGTTAGCGTCAAAGACTTCTCTCTTTCTTCTACCAGGTACAGAAAAACTGGGAGTTTTACCACCAACATATAAAATCTCTGCTTTTAGAGGACAACTTTCTGAGCTGTTGATGGTTTTATTTATCACATCACTTTGAACAGAAAATGAAAATATTCCAGATTTGAGACTTAAATTGACAAAATATTTGTTGCCATCTTGATAAAGTTGTTTAGAAGCGAATGAATCACGAATGTTACAGAAGGCAATACGACCTCCTAGTTTTCCTCCAATCATTTCTAAAGTTAAAAATGTCAGTCTGGAACTATCTGTATTACCAATATACATAATCACACTATTTTCTTGTCTGGTTTGAACAAATAATGAAAATTCAAATTCATTCGCTAGTACTATTTGTAAATCTTGTGGGACTTGAAAAGAGGCAAAACTTGTTGTGTTATTTTTAGCGAATGTTGCTGGAACAAACTCTGAAATTATAGAAACAATGGTGAAAGTGCCACCAGAACAATAACAGTCAAAATGGTTCAAATTATGCTGGTATTTATTAGAAATATTTATCAAATGAGTTGAATAATATTATATATCAAGACTTTATTCCAAGTTAATAACATCAACTGATTACTGTACAAAACAACAAGTCACTTTTGTACTAAATTATGTACATGTATTGGCATTGACATCTACTTTGGGGGTGTCATGCATTGGAAGAGTAGGCCCTTGGTCTATTCAGAAAACATGGGTATACCAACTTATATGATCTTGGGAATGGTCCAAAGTGTTTATTCTGTTTTCCTGATTTTGTCTGTTGAAAAGTATAATGATAGTATGGTGAAAGTATCTGAGTAAATAAGGTTCTTACCTTCCGTACAATTGGTACCAAGATATGGTCTGTAACAATCACATTGGTAGGTATACCACAAGTCTTTACAATCACCATGGCGATCACAAGTATATGGACCACATTGTTCTTTTCTTGGACATCCTTTTATTGTTGAACTGAAGAAATAACTAGAATCTGTATCAATAACAGCTTTAGTGTTTACCAAAACATCTTGCATACATCCAATATAAGATGCTCTGGTGGCTAAAACAGTAGGTACAGAAGAACCAAAATACAGATCACCTTGAGACGATGCTGATGGAAAGGTTGGAAACCGGATGGTACAGTCAGAAACCTGATGGCATAAACTAGAATCTAATGACACTGTTATATTATCTTGTAATGTTATCTTAACATCATGCCAATCTCCATCATTAACTGCTATAGAGTTTACCATCGTTGACACCTGATTCGTTAGCTCTACTTTCAATTTCATTTCCTGTATTTGAACTATGAGATACTCCGTTTGTGATAATGGTTGATATGACATTAAGATTCCTTCATCTAAAGATGTTCTAAATCTGAATGATACCTCTTCTACAGTTGGAGATGATCTAGATCTGATGAAAGCATCCTTCTGGAGAGTGAATGTTGTAGATATATTACAATAACGTCCAGTGTAACCATTGAGACAGTCACATGTGTAGTCATGGCGACCAATGAGTTCATTAAAGTCAGGAATACATGATGAACCTTTGTCACAAAGGACTTGTCCATCACATCCTGTTAGTCTGACACTACAATTCTTTCCAGCGTAGCCACCACTGGATGAGGTATAAGGAAGACAGTCACATTGGTAATCAGCAATCAAATCCTTACACTTGGCACCATTTTGACATGCTCTATAGCGTTCACATTCATTAATTTCTACTTGACAGTGATAGTCCTCGTATCCTGGAGCACAGTCACATCTATAGCTATTAATATCATCATCACATGTAGCACCATTTAAACATGGTGTGGATTCACATTCATCTATATTAACATCACAATCAGAACCTAAAATATATAATTATTATCTCCCTTTAGTCTTCAATATCCATACATTGTTAAGCAATTGAGAACAAATTTAAATCAAAATTTTTTGAATATACTTAAAAATGAAATAAAATGAAATGAATTGAGTTTTACTTTCTACTTTTCTGCAACAGATTGGCGTAATCAAGATGCTCAACACGATGCAGTGTGTAATGAGGGAACTAGCCTACTCTTTTTTCAAATTTCCAACTGTCTAGGGATCTCATGCACAGCCTGTAGCACACAGGACCTCAATTTATTGTCCCATGTGAATGACTAGATGCTTTTTCCGTGTCCTGTATCACTGACAGGGTGGGAACCAGGTTGAAAAATCCAAAGATATCATCTTCACCTATGACAGCATTGAACCCTGGATCTTCAGGTTAATAAGCAATCGCCTAACTCACTGAGCTACAATGGCTCCCTTAAAAATAATTAAGAAGAACTCACCAGTAATACCAGGTATACATAGACATTTATAACCAGTAGCAGTAGCATAGGAGAAATTACTAAATCCTTCAATATTCAACTCATATAGGGTTTGATTGGATCTTTCTAAACATGTTCCACCATACTGACAAGGTTTAGCCTCACATTCTTTAATATCATAATCACAGTTCTTACCACTATAACCTCCATAACAATTACATGTATAATCCTATAGATACAAACATTGGTTTATTATAATGGAGAAGAAATGAAATGCAGGAAAATTGAAGGGTTACGTCATGCAGTTTTCAATGGGGGAAGTTTTGCAACTCTTGGAACATGCATTTGTGGCCTTACTCTTACTTAGTCCCATCTGAAACATATCAGCCATTCCTGTACATCTCCCTGATTGGGCTAAGAAAGTGTGCAATGATGGAAAGTTTGCCATGACAGCAGCATTAGCCTACACTTATTTGCTTTCCAACTGTTGAAGGCATTAGTTTCTAATCCAATCTGAAAAATTTGAGTACAGAGTACACTTATTTCTCAATTAGATTGCTTCTTAATAAACACCAATACATACCTTGATACCATCTAAACAAGTACCACCATGTAGACATGGATCACCTATACAATCATCTATATTAGTTTCACAATTATCTCCTTTAAATCCTGTATCTGAACAGTTACAAATATACCTGGAAAAAAAAGGAGATAATTATCAATCCACAAATAGCCAAGTTGAAATCTTATGTCAGAACTATTACTGCAAACCTTTCCTCAAATTATTTGACTAGCACCTTATTCTCCAGAACAAAATCATCTGAAGTGAAGTTTTTGAGAATAAAGCACCAGTTCAAGTTCAAACCTGTCAGAGATTTGAATACAGGGATATAGTTGTCTTAATACATGCTTTAAAAGCCAAAAAGTTCCATTAGCCATCTGTAACACTTTCAAAATTGACATCTGGTTTCCATATAATTCAACAAAAACATAACATCCAAGACACACTTATTTTTCTTATTTTTTTATTATGTAACTGTACATGAGAAGTAAATAATGGCTCGGAAGTGATTACAGTATAAAGTACATTTTATTTCAATGTAGGGGAACTTAATTCTAAAAAGGAATACTGATGATTAAAATGGTGATAATCACCTCAGAAAGCAAATATTTTTAAACAAACAATGCAGGCTGAATCAATTCTATCTGATTTTCACAACAGTGGATAACATCATAAACATAACAAGTAAAATTGTCAACTACTAACTCAGCATGGAGTTTACGTTCTGAACAAACATGCATGGCACAGAATTGAGTGAATAGGACAGGGTAAATGTTGACTAAAAACAGTTAATTAAAACAGGAATTGTAACTATACTGATACGGAATGTGCTCAATCAGAACTGTGTATGAACAAAACAGAATTCATGCTATAAAGATACCACTATACCCAATTTTAAGGCAGTCATGGTCCAAACAGACAGAGAAATATTCTTCAGAACTGTATAGAGAATAAGCATAAAGAATAAGCAGATGATAAAAAGCAGTGTGTTTGAAAGCAAACTACTAAATAAGAACTAGAAATCATAAATTTTGATAGTTTCTGCTTATGCAAATGAATATTAAAAACTGTCAAATTATTTTCCTTTATACATCACCAAGGGGCCGCTCAATTGGTGACTTTTGCAAGTTTGGGACTTATGGAATCAACAGATCGTTCAATCAAACAAGTTGAACAGAGTTCAGAACGAGTTCCACGTCTGCCCCAAAAATAGTAGGTGAAGACAGAATTCAAAATAGCAGAGAAGGAAATAGATGGGAAATTTTGAATGTGACATAATCCGCTTTCATACCTTGAGATTGGGGGCAGAAGTAGAACAGACAGAACCTGTTCAGAACTCTCAAATCAAATTTACAAAAAAAATTTTTTATAAATAAGACTAAAATAGCAGACATACTCAGTCTGGGACTGTTATTAAAAAATGCAAACTAAACTTGTCAAATGAACAAGATTCTTACATATAAGATGTTATAAATAAAAGCCTACTTTAAATAAACTTCAGCAAAATAAGGGAAAAAAGCCAAGAAAACTGATAAATTTTGAATTAAATGTACTCACTGATTGATCTGATCCAAACAACGTCCACCATTTAAACAAGGATCAGAATTACATTCATCAATATTAATTTCACAGTTGGCGCCAGTAATACCAGGAATACAGGAACAATTATAACCATTAATTCCATCTAAACATGTTCCCATATTCTGACATGGGTCAGATTCACATTCATTTATATTCAGACCACAATCACTACCTATAAGTTTCAATATACATGTACATTATACATTGTCAGAGGTTATCTAGACTTTTAATTGTATTTGTAAAATTTTAATCTATTGTCTGATGTTTGTGTCATTCAAACCAAAAGGTATGTTTGAATATGTCAAGATCTGATCAAGAATTACAATATAACTACTGAATTTAAAGTGGATATCAGAATGGTGCAAATAGAATCTATAAGTCCCTGATAAACAAACATATTCATTGAAAGCTTTTCCAAATGCTTTGAAATAATTGTTATGGTAATATGGAAAAATAGATTAGTTTTATGTCTGATCCTTATGTTGAAAAGGACTCAAAAACACAAAACCTACATGATTATATGCATTATAAAATATCATTTCAGAACACTGTTGCAAATCTTAATAAAATTTCAAAAATTTTTGTATAGCATTTTGATAAACAAGATTTGAAAAAAGCTTACCATGCCAGCCAGGAGCACATTCACAATCAAATCCTCGTGAACTACTCAGACATGTACCACCATTTTTACACGGTGGTCGACCTAACTTCCCAGCTTCAATATCACAATATGTTGTTAACAATTCACAATTATATCCTAAAAATATCAAAAATATTAATATAAATCTGAAAAGATCAGAAATGCACTTATGAACTGAAAAGGTCGATTGGCAAGAAGATTTAACCATAGTACATAATATTTATCAATTGTAAAGCTTCTTAATATGCATGATTTTTTGCAGACTTTAGTTTATTTTCTCTTTCCTTGTAATTCCAGTCAAACCACAGAACCTGGACATAGATAAGTTGACAAGATCAATGCCAGGGATTTGGCCAAGTACCAGCTGCTTACTTAATCCTGAAAGTTGTTATCCTTGTATTATATGGTTTTTCTCTTCCTTAAGGATAAACTGTTGACTTACCTGTCGTTAATTTATCTCCAGGACAAAAACAACTAAAACTACCATTATTATTATTACAATTTCCACCGTTTAAACAGGGGCTATATTGACATTCATCTATATCTTCAGTACAATATTGCCCTTTATATCCTGAATAAAACTCTAGTTTACCAGGTACATATTGAGTTAAATTATATAATGTCAATTGACATTCACATGTATAGTCTCCAGTACCATTAATACACTTGGCATTATTCTGACATCTATTCCCAGCACATTCATCTATATCAATATCGCAAAGTGATCCTTCATAGCCTATAATAAATGAATATATATATAAACGAATAAAAGAATAAATGAATGAAATGAATGCACTGGAATACATTCCTTTTCAGTAATCCATTTGAATATAACTGACTCACAAAATGTTTTGTCCTTCCTAAAGAAAGCTAAGATGTCGGATTACACAGAATGTCTGAGTACTATGATATCACTGAATACACTGTATTGACAAGACAAAACTTGTTCATTACACAAAAACAACAAAACATTTTCGAAACCTTTTTTTCCTGAATGAAGGGCAAATTACTTACCAGGAGGACAGCCACAAGTAAAACTATTAACACCATCATAACATTGTTGAAAAGATGAACAATTATGGAAGGCACAGTCATCAATATTTAGACTACAGTTTGTATTAGTAAATCCTGTTACACAATTACATTGGTAAGATCTACTAGGTGGTGTGGTATTACATGTAGCACCATTCTGACAGGGATTTAAATCTATACAAGCATCATAGGTCTCACTACAGTTCTTACCTAAAAAAATTCAAATCAAGAGCAATTAAGAAACAATCAAGAAATTCAGCCTGCTATGATATTTGTATTATTTTGAAAAATTTAATTTTTTGCCCAAGTCATTACCCATAGCCCAATGTATATGCTGCAAGATTGCCCAAGTCAAAATGAGTAAAAATGGGCAATTACTGAAGCAAGCTGACAATACAAAATGTAACATTACATAGATTTCAGTGTTTATGAGGTTTAATTCGATTTTAACTTAATGTTCAAATGGTTAATGCCCTTATATATTGATCACTGAAAATTTGTTTTCATCATTCGTGTTGAAAGGTATGTTGTAGTCTTTGTATTCCATTGCAAATTTTTTGTCCATGACCACTTAACCATAATTATATAGAGAATGATCTTACCCATCCACTCACTGGTACAAACACAGCGATAATCATTAGTTAGATCCTGACATTGTCCATTATTATTACAGGGATTATTAATACAGTCATCAATATTCTCTTCACATCTATCACCTATAGATGACAAAACTCACTTTCAATATTTACATACAAATTTAAGTGAAATAAACAAGCAGTGTTGCTCTGAAATACCAAACTATTTATTTTGCATTTTACATCAACTTTTGCAGATTGTTAACATGTTCACAATAAATATTAGTATGAGAGTCTATGTTTGCAATATTTCTGAAAATATAAGAAGAACAGTTCTGAGCTGAAATAATTTTTCATGTGACATCCACACGATCATATATTTAGCCAATTGTTATAAGCACTGGCAACACTTAATACCACTCTGCAAATTGGTTTGTCAACTCAGCATACTTTGGCCATTGGGAGAGTTTACATAGCTTATACATACCTCTAAATCCAGTGAGACAGGAGCAGTTATAATAATTAAGATAATCATGACATGTAGCATTATTTAAACAGGGATTACTAGAACAATCATCATAATTAACAGAACAATCTTTACTAGTCCATCCTGTTATACAATCACATTTATAATCATTTACCTAGAATATATAATAATAATAACATAAACAATATAGAACAGACATTAATCCTGTTATACAATCACATTTATAATCATTTACCTAGAATATATAATAATAATAACATAAACAATATAGAACAGACATTAATCCTGTTATACAATCACATTTATAATCATTTACCTAGAATATATAATAATAATAACATAAACAATATAGAACAGACATTAATCCTGTTATACAATCACATTTATAATCATTTACCTAGAATATATAATAATAATAACATAAACAATATAGAACAAACATTAATCCTGTTATACAATCACATTTATAATCATTTACCTAGAATATATAATAATAATAACATAAACAATATAGAACAGACATTAATCCTGTTATACAATCACATTTATAATCATTTACCTAGAATATATAATAATAATAACATAAACAATATAGAACAAACATTAATCCTGTTATACAATCACATTTATAATCATTTACCTAGAATATATAATAATAATAACATAAACAATATAGAACAAACATCAATCCTGTTATACAATCACATTTATAATCATTTACCTAGAATATATAATAATAATAACATAAACAATATAGAACAGACATTAATCCTGTTATACAATCACATTTATAATCATTTACCTAGAATATATAATAATAATAACATAAACAATATAGAACAGACATTAATCCTGTTATACAATCACATTTATAATCATTTACCTAGAATATATAATAATAATAACATAAACAATATAGAACTGACATTAATCCTGTTATACAATCACATTTATAATCATTTACCTAGAATATATAATAATAATAACATAAACAATATAGAAAAAAAGATAAATTGATTCTACTGCCAAAAGCCTCTTGGGCAAGGTCTCTCTGACCCCTCAACGCGACTACTACCTTAAAAAATCCAATAGGTCAGTTGAGGTGCTCGGATGGCCCCCCAATCAATGAAATCCTGACTAAGTCACTAGCTACTAAGTATACTAACCAGATCAGTACAAGTTCCACCATTTCGACATATATCAGTTAAACACTCATTGATATTATTACTACAGTTTTTATCATTATAACCAGGTAAACATATACATCTATAGGAATTTATATCTTGAACACAACTAAAATATAAACAACATACATGTAATAATCTTTCAATGGCATATAAGAAACTGAACTTAAAAATAAATAAAACAAATATAATATGGATAGATTTTTCTAGAGTATGCAATACATTTCACACTGTGAAAGGCTAACACTCATATAAGCATCAATTTTCTGAAAACTGACACATTGCATATTGACATATCAAATCAACTTACGTGGCATTATTTTGGCATGGATCAATTTGACATTCATCAATATCTATTTCACATCTTTCACCAGTATAACCTGGTACACATTGACAGTGGTATTTATTAATCAGATTATCACAGCGTATAGTTTGACTCTGAACACATGGATTTGAAGCACATTCATTTATATCTATACAATTGGGATCAGTACCTAAAAAATATCATAAATAATACAGGTCTGTGAAGGTCATACAACAAATAATATCATGATAATATCATGATCATCATAAGGAATAGAGGCCTCTGCTTAGCTAGTTGCATTAATTCTTCCTACCAATCTCAGTTTTTTCATTTGAAACTATACTATGTCTATACTTTACTACATACTTTATATGTCACCACTCTCATAGGTAACATCAATTAGTTTTGATTGAACACAAACATGACACCATTTTTTCACTCTAAGAGGTATTACAAGCACAAATTTGACTTACCTGTGAAACCATCTTTACACACGCATTGATGGTTGTTGACCAGATCTTTACAGGTAGCATTACGACTCTGACAGAGCACTCCATCACAGTCATCTATATTAACTTCACAGAATATACCAGTAAACCCTGATTGACAGGAACACGAGAACCGATCTAGTTCATTATTACATTGGCCATCATTTTTACATGGTGATGACACACATTCATCAATATCCTGAAATATTTAAACTTTACATTAGACACTCTTCATGATAGAGATATAATATCCTGCTATTATTGCCCATATTAACAAGTGACAAGTACTCTTTGAAATCAATCTAACTACAGAAAAATAAACCATGTTAAACTAAAACATTTTACTTTATCCAAAAATACTTTAAACCAAAATCACAAAATAAATATTGTGAAATTTGAGGACAATACTAGTTATCATGCTACAATCTGATAATGATAAAATAATTTTTGTGGAAATCTTTGATACATCATCTTGTCTTAATTATATGTCAATAAATTTTGAGTTCTTTTTCAGTAAAAAATATGAAAAACTTACATCTTCACATCGATCACCATTATAACCTACAGGACATTGACATGCAAAACCTCCTGGTGAATCATAACACGTTCCAGCTCCACAACTTACAGTGTCACATTCATTGATATCAGTTTGACAATTTTCACCTTCATATCCTAAAATATACATTATCATATTCATTGATATCAGTTTGACAATTTTCACCTTCATATCCTAAAATATACATTATCATATTCATTGATATCAGTTTGACAATTTTCACCTTCATATCCTAAAATACACCTTATCATATTCATTGATATCAGTTTGACAATTACATTCATATCCTACAACATACATTATCATATTCATTGATATCAGTTTGACAATTACATTCATATCCTACAACATACATTATCATATTCATTGATATCAGTTTGACAATTTTCACCTTCACATCCAATAATATAGATTATCATATTCATTGATATCAGTTTGACAATTTTCACCTTCATATCCAATAATTTAGATTATCATATTCATTGATATTATATAGGTATAATAATTAAAGTTATAGTGAAATGTTACATACCCGTGCCAGTACAGTTACATTGATATCCATCACCAACATTATTACTACAGATACCAGAATGTAAACATGGTACAGATTGACAATGATCTATAACTAGTTCACAATCACTACCAGTATACCCTGTAATAATATATAGTTGACATGAACTTAGTTAGTGACTTATATTTATCTAGATATATCTAGTCTATATCAAATTATTGCTTTACCAGTGGACATTAATTTTGACTACCCACAGTAATTTTCAGAATGCAAATAGCAACTTTCTGTTTGAAAAAAAATAGCTGGAATTGAATTATCTAGTAGCATATAAATCTCTTTTAAACACAGCATCTAGCTCTGGACAATTTGGCATAAATTGGACATGATTAATCAATTCCAAATAACACAAAGGGCATAAGATACAATCATACCACTTTTCATGGCACTAGATTCTTGTCTTTCATATTGACACTCATTCTACCTCAATTTGTAGAAAGAATCAAGATAATGACATTAAAGAAAAGACATGTTGATAAAGCTCAAGAGATCAATAATAACCATATCACTATATACTATGTATAACATATTGAGGCTAAAAAAAAATCATTGTAAAATACGTAATCATTTTAACAAAGGTTTTCAATATACATTAATGATGTAGTTAATCTGATTTGATTCCAAAAACAAGAGGCCTATTGTTTATTATGTTGAATCATATAAAATGGGCATGTTTTGTGTCAACTTGATCATGTAAAAAGAATTAGTCATGTGTAAAACTACATAGTGACAACTTATGGTAGACAAGTGTGTTTTAAATACTATTTTAATATCTGGCCTTCATTTCCCCAAAAAATCATCCAGTTTTAAATATTTGTCTAAAAGTGATTGTAAAGAGATTTCTAAACTTTTTGTGTGTATTGGTAACACTGAAATCATTGATTTTCACCATTCAAATTTTCAGTCAGTGGGTCTTGCAATTCTATTTAAATGCAGCTATTGCAAGAAGCTGATATTATTTGCACCTCTTTTGTTAGTGACAACATAATACAATAAAGTATATCCATTATCACAAGAACCAATTACAAATAGAAACATAGGGAAAATAGAAGTCAGAAGTGAATTTATACACTCGGGATCAATTTTGATCCTAAGATTTATTGAAGAATGAGGACTTGAAGAAATCGTTGTACAATAGTTAAACACTCACCATTAGCACAAGTACATCTATATGGTCTAGCAGGATTACCATCGACAGGTACACATGTCCCAGAGTTTAAACATGGTGATATAGAACATCCATATTGTCCTGTAAATTATACATATATAATAATAATCAAGCCTATATATACAATCATACATATGAAAGATATTTGTCCTGGATAGACACTTACATCACAAACTTATGAATTGTGTATTCACAATAATCATGATGATCTGATATTGAAGCATGATAACAAACAAATTGGAAAATAAGGGTTGCCATTCAGGTCTTATCAACAACCTTCTACGTCCCCCTTGTCTTTGGCTACCTTAATCTTCAGTTAATTTAAACTGATCATGTTACACAGATTCAGACATTGGTAGAATTTTTTGTTTTGGGTAATATCTTAGTTGAGAACTAAAGTATCAGTACACCAAAATTTTAGGCCAGGAATACATCTCAATGGCACCAGATTAATTATAACTGAATTCAGTTTTTCAGGGAAAGTTAATTATATGAGAAAATGTATAACTTACTGAGATCTGTTTGGCAGTTGGTTCCATTAAAATTATGAGGACAAAGACATGTATATGTATTGATACCATCTTGACATGTACCACCATTTTGACATGGTAAACTTATACAATCATTACCATCTAAATCAGCTGAAAATAGACAAAAACCAATGGTCATTTCATTGAATCTTCAGAAGTGAAAAATGTATGACCAACTATCAGAAACTATGTGGTCACAGATTCTAAGATGCCCCTCTGAAACCCCTCGATTCAGTCAGAGCATGGTAAATATATCAGTTAAATATGGGTGTTAATAGTTCACTCAGTAACCTTGGATGTAGGTGTAATGTTTTATCAAATATATAAATTGACGATTTGACAACAAACTGTCAAATACTATAATGAAGCTGTCAAATTTTTATTTTTATTCAAGTAATCCTTTAATAGCTTGAGAACAGAAAGACAGAGAAATTTAATTATCTCTTCAAATGAAAAGTCACAATTTAAAGCAAAATAACTCAATTTATATTTTGACACAATAGTTATGTAAACAATTCATTTATGACATTTACATCATTTAATTCAAAAATTTTAAAGTTCAGGCAAACATCAGATTTTTGGCACCAAAAAATCAATTGTTTTTCTTCTCATATCAAAAAATACTTTAATTGTTACATCTGGTGGACTTGATTCAGTTTTCAGTTTTTATGAATAATTAACAATCTATTTCCATAGAGCCCTGGCCGTGTATTCTCCAAAGGGTCTTAACTTCTAACACGGTTTTTAGGATATCCTAGTGCTAAGATCAAATCGAGAATAAATTGATTATGATGGGCATGAGGGTAACAAAGACATCAAAACTCAGAAGATTATTAACAGTATAACATGTCAAATAAGGTCTACAACCTGAGCCAAAGAGGCTATGAGCTAAAATTACCACATAATCTTATGAGTTGTAATAACAGAATATTAGACTTTTTAAAACCATTCAGATGTTATCTGATCTGTTATTTAAAATGATATACAGTTAACAATTTCAGGTACATATCACTTAAAAATTTGAAAAAAACATTGAAATGATGTGAATGTTTATTTTACCAGTACCTTGTTAAAATATCTATATATCAGTTAACTTTCAAGCCAGAATATAATGAACTGCAAATAATTCAAATACTTGACATTTTACTCTTAAATTGGTACATGTAAAAAACGGCTTATCTAAGGCAAGTTATATCCCATTTTCCCTGCCTCTAATTTGGGGTACTAAAGATGGGCAACACTATAGATTGTTTGTGAAGAAAGTTTGGAAAGACAGTGGGTACTCTTTTTAAACTCTGTTTATTGTTCCAATTATAACACTGCATGATGCTAGCATCTCTCTCCTGTGTCACTGACAGGATGAGCCGATCGAAACATCAATTCATAAAAGGGTTTGACCTACAGTGGGATCAAAATACATACCCCTAAATGAGCAAGAAAGTGTCTAAATACCCTAACCCTAATCACGATTTCAAGCTTGATCTCTTGATATCAATGGACATTATTTTGGTCTTCAATCAAATAGTTTGCTTCAGAAGATCAAAAACAATACACTTTCCTGTTTATATTTTCCATAAAAAGACAAATCTTGGTGCATTGACAAGGGTGGTATAGAGTGTTTCACAATGGTTTGTTAACATACAAAAAGATAAGTATTATCATAATGCCACTTTAGTCTACATCATCAAGCCGTTTTGAAGTGTTCTTTACTCTTTACTACAAGTTTCAATTGTGTATTTTAATACGAGTGTCAAAGTACCGATTCAACAAAAACAACCAAAGTCAATAATTCTCTTTCTACTATGTCAATTCTCTTGCCAAAGTTTTTGTCTGTAGTTGGGGTGAATATTTAGATTTGTTAATGACATGTGGTTTAAGGTTGTTTGATTAAAACTAGGAAGTAAAGTAAAGTAAGATTAAGGTGAAAGTATTTAAATCTTTGATCAGTATCATGTCCAACTATAATTATCTCATCATTATTTATCAAAGTTTCATTGAATTTATTCAACAGAACTGTTTGATGGATAATTTTTCACATCCAGGTCCAAATAAAAACATAAATATGAGCAGGCCGTATTATTTTTTGTTAAAAGAATTTGAAAGTAAATAAGCTGTGGTTATTCTGTCTATTACAGTACCAACTTAGACAGCTCATGTGTTATGTTTTGAATTGGCCCTTTGATGTGAACATAAATAGCTTTGCTAGACCTTAGCTGTAATGTGGACTATTTGAAAGAGATGAAAAACCCAGTTGCCAAGTTCTCTCAAGTATCCTGGAAGTCCTGTCGCTCTGAGAAGCTTTGTCATTGTACTTTTTTTAATGGTGCTCAAATTCAAATTTAGTCTTTGAACACAAGAGCTTGAAGTTTTTACTGGAAGTTTTAACCTTTTCACCACCTTATTTAGTTAAATTACATTTAGTCACACTGTCCCTAGCAACATGCCAGCCTGATTTGGTATCATTAAAAGTATTGTAATATTAAGATAGCTGGTAGAATGAATACACCTTTCTCAATATGAACAGGAAATTGTGTTCTTTCAATAATATAATGTTATTGATCTATGTTAATCTGTATCCAAGATAAATTTAATATTGATTGATTCTATTTATTCAATACTTATACAAATAATAATAAAAAACACATTTTATTCAGCTGTTAGTTTTCATATATATTCTTATAATATTCAATATAAAACAGGACCAACTAACTATAAGTTTATAAAATAACAATTCTTCCTCGTGAGATTTATCAGTTTTATCCTAAACAGTGTCAAGAAATAAAGCGTGAAGTTCTTCTATGTTTTGTATCTGATCTGAATAATGAGAAGAGAATGAGAAATGTCATACCATGCATTAAGGGATATTTCATCATGACAACATTAATCAATCAATTCTCATATATATCAGTCCAAATATCAAGGAACTTAATTTATGACATGATTGATGATTATTTTCAGACCTACAGCATAGCAAGCAGAAAATCTTGAAAAACTCTTCTTACTAATATAATGAACAAATCTGGTGCAGAAGAATAGTTTACCTCATTTGGAACAAAAACTTTCAATAACATAAATGACGTAAATCCAGTGTCAACTATTTCAAAAGTCAGAATTTCATCATCACTTGAAGAAATGTTTATAAATAGCCAGATTTTACAAGAAAAATAGATACATGCGACAAACAACCATTAAAAAAACAATTTCTTTTGTGTTTATTTTTGAAGAAAAGGTTTCGGAGACAACTGTTTTTTTGCGGTAATCAAATATAGAGTAGAGAATGACAATATTGAAAATAGAGCACAATACAAATAATATTCTTAAAACATACTCAAAAATTCTAAATTTTTACATTTATTTGGTTTTCATTCAAGGACATTTTTAAGGGAGATTTTGACAATTTCGAAGGTTGCTATATCTGACAAACAAAATCTTAAAGGGATTGTGAGGAAGTTTTCTAAGTTTAAGGTGTATCAAGAACACTGATAGTATCGATTGTAACCATTCCAATTTTCAGTCAGTGTCTGTGGTTCTTAAAATTCCACTAAAACTAAGGGTTTTATGACATCACTATCACAAAAGTTCATATTGATATATAAGGACCTTTGCAAAAGTGGAATTTTAGTGGAATTGCAAAAACCAAAGACATCTGAAAATTAATGGTGATGCTATCAGTGTTCCTGATACGCATAATTGTTTTTAGAAGACCTCTTTACAATCCATTTTACTTGTACGAATAAACAAGTCTTTTGCAATCTTATTTCTGGTAAACTACTCCCAAATTCAAACGTAATTTCTTTCATAGAGGTGTTGCACAGTCTAGGATATAAAGTAAAGGTGTATTTGACATTATAGAAACACCTATTTATGTATTCTTTGGCTATGTTATGACTCATCTAATTGTGTACAAACTGTTCAACATTTTTTTCAAATCAGTTAACACAAGTTGACATATAGACCAAATAATGCATTCTAAATTTATAGATATTTAAATGAATAAAGTATAATAGGTCCTATGAAATAAACATTTTATTGGGCAAATGATGGAGATTTAGCATTGCACAACTTTGTGTTTAGCCACTCCAGCATTCCTAATGATCAAGTCACATTCTGAAAGCCTCAGAATTTCATATCTCCCATGATAATAAGTATACAGATCATGAATTATAAATGCAGAAATGAAAACAGATATTATGTCATTGTTTTGCGTCAGAATACATAAACCACTGCTTTTCTGAAAAAATCTTTACAAATTTACAGCCAAAGATATTTAAATAATATTGTCATGGATACTCTCATATACAAAGAATTCATGTTGCTTTGACAATGGTGGAAATTTCTAGATCATGGGGCTTTAAAAACCAACTGACACTGATAACCTTTCATTATTTGTAATGAGAAGACACCGACCCTGGTGCTGAAACTTGAGATATTTGACCTGACCTTGTCATTATCTTACTAATTAATTATCAGACTAAATAATTGTAATTATCAGATTTACACCACAATAAATCATTTAAAATTACCCTTCATTTTACAATATATAGTTTTTAAACAAAAACCCCTTTAACAATAACAAAAGTTCTCAGATGAATTTTGTGCAATGTAAATTGGCAACTGTCCTCAAAAAGGTGCTCTCTGAAGGACTATCTTCACTTTTTCCAGGGGCCATATTGACCTGTTTTGAGGTGCCATTTTGACCAAATTTGGGGCCATTTAAGTTTTGTGCCAAATTGACTGTAACCCTTCTCTAAATTATTCAGAACAGACTGGAAAAACTGGCAACATGTAAATGGCCTGAATCTTCATTAGCCCACACGGTGCAGAAAAGTAGGACGTAAAACTCCATTCATTACAATGTAAATGGTAATTATTCTGGCAACAGTGTACTGTGCATGCCTTAAAAGCAACCTTAACCAGACAACTTGGTTGAACTTAAATGTAAGCAAATTTTATAGCCACCTGATATAGAACCAAATGCTATATCCTTGAAAGTGTGAAAAGGCTAAACTACAGGTATACCTGGCATTCTAACTACATTACTGTTTTCGGCAGTATCCAGGATCAAAAAGGTTGAGAGAATTGCACTGTCGTTAATAAATCTGTTTTAATAAAATATGTTGAATATCACTGACATTTTGTAACATATAAATATAAGAATTTCTGACAACTACATTTCCTTATGAATATTTTATCTTACAATGTGTTACAAATTGTAAACAGATTTCAAAGCTGGAAACCCATTATAAAATATGGAGTAAGAATATTTTTGCTAGTAAACATTTCCTGGATGTACAAATAATATTAGTATGTCTTTACAATAGACTCTACATTGTTTAATAAAGCCGTGGAAGGTAGGATATGTCTTTGATGACAACCAAAACAAAATACCAAGAGACAGGAAGTGAGATAATGGAGTGTTTAAACTTACCGTCTGCTGTTTGTACAGCCAGAAATTGGAGGGAAAGAAAACTGGAGATGTAGAGTAATTGTATATACTTCATTCTTTATCACAAAACTTTCTTGTTTTCAACTATAGACAATAATCCTAAATAATTTACTAATCCAAATACTGCTAATACTTTCTTTACACTAAAACATCCCATTTCACATTACAGGACCATATTGTTTCAGATAGTTTCAACAACTAACACAAATCACTACCTGAAGTGACTATTGAACAAACAGGATTATTCAAAATAACAACGAAAAAATTAGAAATGGATTAAGAATGCTTCCTTCTATATCTCATTCACTATAGAGCTTTTCTATACACACTATGAATAACAAAGAATATGTTATAGCTAGTTTGGAAATATTGAATGGTTGATATTTTACTTTCCTCTTCACACCAATGTTGTATAAATGACTAATGTTTGAAACACTTTAACACACCTTATCACATAGCTTGACCCTACACAAACTACATCTGATCTCCTTCTACCTTAATGACATAACAATTCGGATAATCAGGCTATTGTTAATCCACCTCAATCCACTGTGACTACAGAGGTAATAAATAATAATCTTATGTAAAGCCTTCAGCCTTCTGTCCTGATCAAGCAAGTTGATGTTTTGATCATTAAAAAATGTTAATAATGCAATGGTATGAAGTGATCAATCATCTATAGCTAGGAAGTTGAATATCTATCCATAATTAATCACACGCCTCAATTAACTATCCAGGTATAAATATAGATGGAATTAAATGGTATCCTTCTTGATTACATATCACACAAGTCCAATAACACAACATGCCTAAAATCCATGTGTGCACCTATCAGTGTTAAGAGTTAGAAATTGTAGAAGGTAATAGTGTCTAGTATAGACTGTCGATCACAAGCTACCTGTAATGTCAATACATTGGTTAAAATGACAATAAGATTCTAAGGTGAACCAATAGAAACCACTTTCTCATTGACAACAGTAAATATCACAGACTCAGTCTTCTTCATTGAGATAGCATGGTGATACAAAACACACTAAACTTCATTGTCTTCTATTATCTAATTAGGTCAAGTCTGATACGCCTGGCTTACTTTCAATGCCTGCATGTTCAAAAGGAGCTGACATGCAGATGACATAGCAAATGATGTGTGTCTCTAATGAAAAAGGTATACATGTACACTTGATACAACCACACTATAAATAAAACTATTTAAGTTGCCTTGAATTATCAAATTTCATAAAACACAACCAAGACACATAAACTTTACCAATAGAATCTAAAGTTGTAAACTGGACAATTTAATTGGTGTAAATACAACAGTTATTTACAAATATTTACAAACAGTAAACAAGATTCTTAAAATGTGTCAAATCAACATGTATGGGACTAGAAATACGTTCCAAAGCTTTTAAAACTTTTAGATCTGGATCCTCAAAGTCTGAACTCACATATAAAACAAGAAACCAAGCAAAAATGAGTTTATGAGATTTCAAATTTAACTAAAAAGAATGAAAGAGGTTGTGTATCGGGGACACTTATAGCATACATTTGCACCATTCCAATTTTCAGTCAGAAACCTGTGATTCCTGCAATTCTACTAAAAATAAGTGTTCCATGACATCACTAATCGCAAAATAAGCTTTAAGATATAAGGCAATTAAAGATGTCTTAGTTTTAGTGGAATTGCAGGAACCACAAACATCACTAATCGCAAAATATGCTTTATGATACAAGGCAGTTCGAGATGTTAGTTTAAGTGGAATTGCAGGAACCACAAATATCTGACTAAAAATTAGAATGATGCAAATTGATGCTCTGAGTGTTCACAATAAATTAAAAAATTTAGAAAGCCTCTTTACAATTCCTTTAATTCTTATTAGTTAAATTTGAAACTCATAAACCTAATGAACAACAAATATTATCAAAATTGTCTCCTCCTTCCTGATATTTATATTACTAATTGTGGGATAGTAAATATTTTAAATGTCTGTGACACCTCAAAATACTTCAAATATGGCTACTGTTTTTATAGACTGACTAATATTATTACTAATATGTTAATTATAGTAATTAGGAAAAGTAATTAACACCTTAACACATCTTTGATGTCATAATTAAAATTATACCTTAATTACAGTGTCATGAGAAAGTGACATGAACAAAAGGAAACAAGCAAAAATTATGGACCCCTTCTGTTTTTTAGCTTTTGTTGGTTAATGGTATTTTACTGATTATTTACCTATCATAGTTATAGGATAGTTATCATTTCTGTTGATTAATAATTAACATGTTTTGCGCATATTTTCATTTTAAAGTTTGTATCTAGAGGGCAATTTTCAAAATTTATTTACAGTAAGTGAATATATTTCAAATATAAAGCAAAAGGTACCATTTGTAACACTTTCACAATTCCAGATAATGATGGAAAACAGGGAGGTTGAAATTTTGGAATATTGCAAACTGTTCTTATGATATTTTAATCCTATATCAAGTTATTGAAGATCAGTTGAAAACTAAAAGAGCTATTGTCTGAGAAAAGTAAGAAGTTTTTTCAATTAATTTTTCTGAGAATTGAAATAACAGCCTTAAGGCCATACCAAAATAATTTTCTGTTCTTCGGGATTTAATTTAAAAAAAAAAATGTCTAAAAGTTAGTGATCATTGATTTGGTTGGTGCTATATAATATTTTTTAATTTAAAAAAAAAAAAAGTCCCTTTGTACCATTAAAATTTTCCAGCATGGATGATTTTGAATGTATTCAGATAAAATAACAATTAATAGTATTTATGTATGGTGTAAAAAATAACAATAAAAAATAATAATAGGTGTCAGTGAATTACTGATTGATATATGACTGATATTACTGATAAAACAAACAAATAAAAGTGCAAATGCACCCACCAGAAGCTTTAAAGGGGTGGTAAAGATGTTTTCTAACCTTATTATATGTATCTGGGACACGGATTTCAATTTGAACAGAATATTATTTTGGTATGGCCTAAAATAGTACTACAAGTTTTTGATCTGAAGTTTAAGTGTTGGATAAAATTTCGTTAAAAATCAGAAGATTTAATGGAGTAATAAGTAATAACTAAAAAGGACCATTAAGTCAGATATGCAGATGATTTTATACGAAGTTTTAATTTTTGCTGTGTGACAGTGACAGTCAAGAGGTTGTTGATGGAATTTAGTGGTCTATTTTCAATTTGACCAGCTGAAGACTTTCATGGTCATGATATATTGAATTTTTGTACAGAAGCTTAGTATTTGCCAGGCTTTCACACAACATATTGGAAAATTTTCAATGAGATTTCGGGATAAATTTATAGAAGGTATAGAATTTTGTGATTCAACATTGAAAGAGATGGCAATAAGGGATAACTAAATTAATATTATGCACAGAGTTATCTCCCATTAGTCTTCAATTATGCTTCTAACTTATACATTCTTGTAGATATTGTTAATGAAATCAATTAGGTTTGGGATTCAAGTGAATTGTATGCTAAACTACTTAAATTACTGGTATATCATTTAATATTTTAAACCATCAAAAACTGGAAGTCTCTTTCAAACATGATACTAATAGCCAGAAAAAAAATATTCAAAATGTTGCACAAAACTGCTTCTGCTGACGTCTGAATTTCTAATACTAAGCTGTCCCATACTCCCAATGTAATACGATTAGTAATCGATTGATTGGAACAATGAGGCAGGTATTACAACAGAAGTTATTGATTTTCAAGAATTTGTAAAGAGAATTTGTTGTGTATTTGCAATGCCACTAAAACTAAGCATTTAATGACATTATCATTACCAAAACTTCCAATAATACATATAGTTTTAGTGGAATAGGAAGGACCACAGACATAAGATGTTACCTCTTTACAATCTCTTTTAGCAACTGGATATGATGGCTTCAAAATGATATGCAACCTGTGAAAGCTGAACATGTTAGTATTAAAAAGTTCTACATACCTAATGTACACCCAAGTGAAGATGATACAGAACAGTTATTCCATATAACATTAGTGGCAGTTATAACAGCTAGATTAAAGTCTACACCGGGTCCCTGATTGATACAGCCGACAATAGTTCGCCCCACCTTTAACTCAACACTATTGACATTATGCATTAATAAATATTGGTTAGTTGTTAAACTAGCTATAATACTAGAATGTAACACAGTCTGTCCTTGTGTCACATTAAAATACACCTCTCCTAGAAAAAACCTGAAACTCACTGTCACCCATTTATTTGTATTATATTTTCCCTGAACACTGACTGATGATGCTATATTGGATATATTCCATGAGAACACTAATGATCCATTCTTTAAACGAAGATTAAGAAATTGTCCAGAACTGTCTTCCTGAGACAATAATTCCCCATTAAATGAACAAGTTCTAAATGATAGCCGAGTCCATGAGCGAAGATTCCATGATTTTGAAAGAATTAGCGCAGATGACGTCTGATTGACAAATACTTGTGTTTTTCTTCCCGTAACTTCAGATGTTGAACTATGTAGCATGGCAGCCAACAGCAAAAATGCTCCTGAAAAATAAAAATGATAAATGTATTGATATGAATTGTGAAAAGCATTGATAAAGTGCAGAGTGGTATAAATATGAATAATTTATATAAATTTTTATGACAACTAACTATTATATCTATTATTATGCCTTTGAAGTACAATTATAATCATTACAAATCAAATAAAATATTGTTTCTTTTACACCACGGGTCAAAATGGCCCTGGCTTTTCGCTTTTTTTTGATAGTCTTTTTAGTCAACATGATAATTTTGCTATTTTAAGGTCATCATCTAAGCGACCTGTTGTATTGTTTTGAGATCCTATCAATATAACTATAAGCCTGCTTTCATTGTCTCCAATGGCCAATTGTCAACAAAAATACTTCAGGTAGGCCTAAACTAAAATATCTCATGTATGTAAGTTTCATAAAAAATAGTCAAATAGGTATTCTTCATCCACAGTTTTTTTCTGCTTCTTTCATATATATGATATTGATCGGCGTTTAATAGTCTGATGACCTTGAATAAGTCATCTTCACTCATAATTCCAGTCGACCCAGCTGTAAATTGGTAGGGATAATCCGGGAAAGATCAATGCCAAGATGTTTAGTCAAGGACCAGCTGGTAGAAAGGATCCTTAACTGTGAATCTAAGTTGTTGTCCTTGTAAAATATAATATATATTGTTTCTTTCTTTCTTTTTGTACTGTTTATGCTGTTATATTTAATTGAGAAATGTATACAAGTCATGTGAATGTGAAACAAAGAAAAGGTCCAGCTCATTATTTTACTAGCTACAAGATAATAGTGTAATAAAGATTAAAGTTAATGTTATTTTAAAGCTATGTATGTATAAGAGATAAACATTAAGGTTAAAAGTCTAAAATTACAGTTGATATTCAAGAAATTGAATACTTAGTCTAATTTACATCAATTGGTTGATGAAAATGATGTTTACTTGATATCTATTAACAATTTTCGCATGAGATGACATCCTTAACTACTAACAATGACTAAAACTGGAGTTTTTGCAAGCCCCTTAGTGAGATAATTAGGCCAAACCAATTTATTTTCTTTTTTTGCAAATTTTTTCTTGATAAATTTAGAGTTATTTACCCTGTTAATTGGGGATTTATCACACCTCCAAATATGTGTTTTTTCTGACATACCTTTACCATGACTGTATATTAGTGTTGGGCACCACCATAACTTTTATTTTGTTAGTACTACATGACTCTGTGACTTTTGAACTTTTGGCTGCGCATGCAGTTTTAAATGGCCGATGCGAGATCAGTTTTGTTAAAAACATAAATGGTGTAGGGAGAAAATGATAGTATGACTGAACTACAAAAATACATCTTTCAAAATATATCTAGCTTTCGCAGATTCGAGGTATCTAAATAGGTTTAAAACCCCTGAACCAGCAGAGATGTGGAAAGTTCCCATTTTACAGGCCCTTTTTTTCTGTCTCTAAACCAGCCAGGCATCCTTCCAAATACCTATCAAAGGCTGGAACAGAGACAGATGTTTCAGTTTGACCTTTATTTTCCCACTTTCTGATGATGTTTTTTTTCCCATAGAGTTTCAAGGGTTTTTTACTGCAGAGCTATTTTTTTTCTTTTATATGATTGCTGGAAAATTGAGGTAGGAGGATTTTCAAAACAAGAAAATAAATTGGTCTGGCCTAATATAAACACCTTGCAATGAAGTTTTCCTGCTCTTTTTTCTTAACATCTATCATTATTTTTCACATGAATAGCCTTTTGAACACAGGTGGTTAATTTTCTCATTTGAACAACTATATTCTATTTATCATGTCAGCCATATTATAAAGCAATAGTTTATATCTTAATAGGAGATAAGACTTCAATTCTTGAGCAGGAATGTCTATTTCTATAATCTATCAAAACTTTTGGTTTCAATTAAAGGCCACGATTCCCCATTTTCGGGGTTTTATTTCGGTTTTGAATATATGTAAATAGCCGTCAAAAGTACAAAAACTGCATGGAAATCGCATAATCCCTTCTGATATAACTGAACCTAGAAGTTTTAATTTTTGTTTCAATATATGTTTTTACTATACATGGCCTGTCTCAAGAAAAGATGGATAATTCACGATACATATGTATTTGAAGGCTAAAATTTCGAAGGTGAAACACCATTACTGATTAGCTTAACTAAAAAATTTTGTTTCTAGTACCAGTACTTTGGTCAAGCAGGTGATTAACCAGTGCCTTTAATGTCAAAAATTTCATGTTATAAAAAAATTGGGGTTAATTCCTCAGAGATAATACCAAGCCTATTACAAAATCAGCTTAGATCTAACATGAGTCAACAGTTATAAACATCCTAATATAAACTAATATTATGAAACAAATGAGAGAGAGAATGGCTGTAGGGTATTTATATAGCTATATATATATAACATGGTTATCAATAATAGATCTCTATATATTATATATCTACAGTATATTAAATACATAACATATCAAACACTAATACATTCATTCATATTACCACTACACTACCTCTCATATAAACTAAGCTTATTGTCCCTGTAGTAGGACCTGTTTTCTCCAAATAATAAATGGACTTAATATTAACACTTTCTTTGATGTACAAATTTTGGTCTCAGCTAATATGATTTTTGTGAGACAATTGCTTGTAATTTCTCAAAGGTCAATTCAGTTTCAAGAAATCCCTTCTCAGTTGGAAATTAAACAAAAGTAGTCTATTGTTGTTTTTTTTTCGCAAATTCCCTCTATTGCACACTAGATGAGGTTGTGCTCATTATTGCAATCAGAAGCAGAAAAGTAGGACATAAAATTACATTTCAATTCAAGTTTTACCCCTATTGGTCAACACAACTAAAGCTACTGTTCCAGATACATATACTGTCCTCATTAGTTCACAATCCAGTTTAAAGGGGCAGTGTGTAAAGTTTTCATTAACAAAATGTCATAAATTGAACGAACTATTTCTAAATATGCGATATACTTCTATGTTTCTACTTGATCAAACTGAATTTGTTTTGAAAATGGCTTTCTAAAAACGGAGTATTAATTAAGCAGTTTTGGTGCATACATTTCATAAATTGTAGTAAAAAAATTGTTAACCTTCAAAAAACCTCAGAATACCCCTTTAAATTTGTTACTTTAGTAGATTTCAAATTTGATTTGATATTCTCCAGATTATAGCCTTTCATGGGTGTCTAGTTACTTGTTTGACCACTAACTCAAACACATAGTATATATACAGTATTGATATTAAATTGTAAAATGAAAAAAGGGTTGGGTGGGACTGAGGTCTGGATAAAAAATTTGCTTCTTTAACAGTGACAGAAAATTCAACCAAGAATCATGTGTTTTTTCTACAATAATTATCAGATACTTAATTCAGATTTTAACTTCTAACCTTAAACTGATATTATGTGGTTAACGGTTTATCATGAGCTCTTCATTTAAAGATTGTTCATTTTTGATGAAAATACTAGAGAAAACCTAGTTGCCATCAAATCCAGAATAATATTCATCTTTTATTACTATTTAACAGTAAAAATTCACCAGATTTAGCACCAAATATGAAATATTGTAGTAAGAATGTTAGTAAATTAACTGTTTAGGATATCCATGAGCTAATGGATATTTGGTTATTCGTTTGAGCACTATATACCAGAAGTATACATTCTGTACTAAGTCTGTAGTGAGTATTCAGTTCTGACAAGTGGCTGTAATGATTCACGTTATTTTACTATCATATAATCTAAAATACATTGTTCTTGATGATGTAATCTTATAGGAATTGATGATTATCAAAGAATAGCAGGAACTATTGACTAATCATTATATCATACATCAGGGCTGTTGATTCAACTGTATTTATAAGTACTCCCAATATGTCGATGACTCTGGCAAGGTGGTCAACACACTGACCAACTTTTAGCCTACTAGTTATATCTTGAAATCTTACATAAATCTTAAGAATCTAAAGTTTCATTATCTAATATTATATAATTTCTTGTGGCTTGTGGTTTCATTATTTATTCAGATATTTATTTTTAATGAATGTTGTAACCTTGAAAACTAAACATTTTTAATCTGCAGTCAAACATGACTGGCAGGCTACATGATCAAATTAAAACCCATGCTTTTGTTTTAGTTATTATTATATAGCAAGCCAACAAAAAAGTACAAAGTGTGTCCAAACCAAAAAAATTATTTCACAAGGTCACAAAGAAACTGGTAAAACATCCCTGTAGTAGACTATTTTATTAATAAATTTTATAGCAGGAAATTAAATATATCAGGTATGACACATACTTATATCACCTTCACTAAATTGAATATTTCCAATAAATTCTGTACTAGTATTTCCTAAATTATATAAAACTTCTTCCATCAAATCTGTTCATGAAATTGGTTTATGTTTGAATGAAATTTATTTTGATGAAATCAAATTCATTGAAAGTTGGGAAAAGACCCTAAAGGGATGGGGGCACGCCATGTTTCAAGTATAAAATAACTGTCATTGATTGAGGGAGGGGATCAAATGCTGTCATATTTTGTTTGTGTATGTGTGTGTGTGTGACAATAATTAGAAAATGAGGTCAACTCTTACCTGGCCAAATACGTAATCGTAATTCCCACATTCTTGTTATTTTTTCACAAATTTACTCAAGGCATACATTTCTATCCTAAAGTCTACAAAACGACGATACATAACACGGCAAGCGTCATCGAAAATTAACGACAAACATTTTCTTCTCAAATACAATTGTCACGTGATAAAATCCTATCTACATGCTCCACATTCCTGGGTGTATTGTTATCGTGACGCCTCAAAAACTACTGATACCCCTATCAACTATTGTCTTAATCATACTTTATCATTTGATAAATCATTCGCATTGCCATTGGGGATATTCTCTTCTTATTTATCAAGAAGTGATCAGGTTTTAAGGGCCAGGGCAAGTTGAAACGAATTCAGGATTTTATATAATTGTCACATCTACCTGGTTGGTCAGGTAAATTGATCAAAGGACAAAGGGACATAACTCTTAATTTGCATGTCTTAGAACAGACAACATTTGATTGATTTTAATGTTCTGGTCTCTGTATGACTAATAAAAGACTCAATCTTTAGATCTTTAGAATGAAATTTAGCATGGATTGGGTCATGTAAAGACACATTTGACAGTTAAGCAAGGGTTGTGCTGGCAAACAAAAATAAATTTGTATGAAATCTTTATTTTATTCCAGTCACATTACCTTATGGCTTAAGTGAGACTCTTCACTAAATATTACCCTGTATTATTGTCAAGAACTACATGTCACAAAGCTATATTCAGATTTAATATGACTGAAATATGGTCAACAATTAATTCCTAGTATTTCAATTTATATTTCATTTAGATTTTCTTAATTCTTAAATTGGCCATATTGTCTCATTTGTGACATAATATTCAAGATGAAACTAATCATGTCACAATACAATACATTTTGTAATATGAGGTGCTAAATAAAAAACAATTGTTTAAGTATCAAAATAAATTTTCATATACATGTTTATTCATCTCTACATCCTTCTACACTTCTTTTTTGGTAATTGTCTAAACTTAAACAGTCGAACTTTGATAGCCCCTGACAATGTCCATATATCACAGTTCTCTACTAGATCATAACACAGCTTGGGTAGGATACAGGTTTAACTAAGTTGAGATGTCAACTTCACACTAACTGTCCTCCAATAAATAGTTTTTATTTTCACCATCCTCAATTTGAAAATGATGTGATTTGGCTTGGTCTATCTTAGAACCTATTAATAATTTATCTGGATGAAGTTCTGGATGACATTTGTCAAAGTTGTTAATAATTTCATATAAGTTCCATTGATCTTGAACTAAAGCATGATCCAAGGTAAAATGTCCAAATCTTACTCGTCGTACTTGTGTACAAACAGCAGTTGATTTTAGTTGTAGTCCCAGTTCATGTATCAGATTCATAAAATATTCCTTTCTTTCATTGATACTGTGAATTTCTAGAAAAAAAATAATATTTCAGGCTTCTTATTATTTACTGATGAACCTTAAATAAAGGAGAAATAAACAGATCCTACTGATGCAGGAGGGGCTTACATGAAAAGAGTCCACAATCATATGAAAAAGAGTCATTCAGATAGGACAATAAACTGAGGACCTGTGTGATACAGGCTGTGCATGTTAAACATCCTTTAACAGAAAAGAGAGAAGGCAAATGCTGCTGTCCTGGCTAAATTTCCCTCTTTTCACATTGCATGGTGTTGCCTGTAAAGCCAAATCAGGTGCAGAAAAGTAAGACAAAACTCCATTTGTCTCCTTTTTTTGATGAATGAAGATGACGTAATATGGAATCAAATCTGAATGTCAAAGTTAAAAGTATACCTAATGTAAAATCTGGTAAGTTATATTCTATACAATGTACACCATATATCACAGGTGGTGTATCTTTACTTTCTGGTCTGATAAGTCCTTTACTAGCTAATTCATACGCTTCTTGACTTCCATCTTTTACACCAGCATATCTACAACAAAAAAGGAGTAAATTATTCTAGAAGAAAGTAGTAAATTTCTCAGTGGAAAATAGTAAATGAAATGAAATGTATGGACTTTTACGTAGTAAATTTCTCAGTAGAAAGTAGTAAATTTCTCAGTAGAAAGTAGTAAATTTCTCAGTTGAAAGAAGTAAATTTCTCAGTAGAAAGTAGTAAAAATTTCAGTAGAAAGTAGTAAATTTCTCAGTTGAAAGTAGTAAATTTCTCAGTTGAAAGTAGTAAATTTATCAGTTGAAAGGAGTAAATTTCTCAGTAGAAAGTAGTAAATATCTCAGAAGAAAGAAGTAAATTTATCAGTAGAAAGTAGTAAATTTCTCAGTTGAAAGTGGTAAATTTCTCAGTTGAAAGTGGTAAATTTCTCAGTAGAAAGTAGTAAATTTCTCAGTTGAAAGTAGTAAATTTCTCAGTTGAAAGTGGTAAATTTCTCAGTAGAAAGTAGTAAATTTCTCAGATGAAAGTAGTAAATTTCTCAGTAGAAAGTAGTAAATTTCACAGTGGAAGCAGTAAACATCCCAATAGAAAGTAGTTAATTTGTCACTGGAAAGTAGAAACTTCATGCTTCCTATATAAGTAAGAGTGAACACCAAGAGGTCACAAATAAATTATAACATAAACATATTTTTAATTTTTAGGTTTATGTTACAAGAACTACGAATTTTCATTTTAACATATTAGCCTTAACAATAGTGAACACTGCATTAACCTTGTGCCAGTGCCTTCGGTTCAATAGTATGTGCACGTTAAAGATCCCTCGACAGTTGGAAATCGAAAAAGAGCAGGCTAATGCCGCTGTCCTGGCAAAATTTTCCTCACTGCACCCTACATGGCGTTGCCCGTCTTCATTAACCCACATGGTGCAGAAAAGTAGGACATAAAACTCCATTCATTTCATTTCGGTTCAATAGTAACTTGTTATTGTAATTGTATAGCAATTTTCATTCTTGGAACTGATTTAGTGTTAGACAGTTCTCCATTATTGTAATGATGTTTTACTTACTTAAACATCAGTTTCATATGATTAGATTGAACTACTGCACAGATCTTATCTAATTTAGGTTTCGTTATGTGACCTGAAAATTAAATATTTCACTTATATCATAACAACTTATACAATAATATCCAACATTCTGAAAGTTCTCCAAAAGAATCTGATTAAAATGAAAATCTGGTTGTTTTGTGTCTTATTTTTGTTGAGGGTGGCTCAACATATCATCCATGATCTGATTTAATAAAATATGATACAAGAAAAAAGAAAACAATTTCCTGTAGAACATAGTCATGTCAAGAGAAAAAATTGCTTTGAGACAGGCAGGAAATTTAGTATTGATATTTTCATTAAACACGTTTAAAGTCAAACATTCAACTTACTGAAAGAAGTTCTTTCAATAATCTTTCCTTTAGGACTAAAATTATCTGTAGCCCAACCAAATCGACCTCGTATATGATACACCTGTAATTACATCAATATTCATACTCATTCATACAATTACACAAAATATTGATAATTGTAACCTTGTATATTGTGATAATTATCATTTTCTAAAAAGTCTGTTTGTTCATAGTAAGGTTTGTTTATTGAATTTATAATGAGTACAGGCATCTCCTTTCAGATGAAAATGTCAATTTTACCATACAAAATTCAGCATCTCATACAACAATCCCATTGATTTATTGATAACAGGGTGTGGTTTAATAGAACCCTTATAAGAACCTACCCTCATATACTTTGCTCTGGCAATAGTTGGTAACATTCCTACAGCTCTACCAACACCCATTACTAAAATATAACAAAATAAAAAAAAAAACAATCCATTCTACTTATAACTTCATAATGTTATTCAACTTCATTCTTAGGGGAGATAATTAATAGATACTCACTTCATAAGAGAAGCCTTTTAGGAATCTGCTCTAATGATAAATCAATTTCATATCAAGCAAATTAGTCCCAAATCTATCTTCAAGAACCTTGAAAGAAGCTACTACAAAGGTTGGGAATGTTCACCCTTTAAGATTACTAGATGCTATTTTTTGAATAGGTTAGTCACATCAACATCTCTTTTGGAGAGACCACATGGATAAAAAATATTTTTTTACTGACTGTATACCAAGAAATCAGTAAGACATACCAATTACGCCTGATGAATGTTTTTGCAATGGTGCTACAGGAAAAAGTTCTATATCAGATTCTATATATCGCCTTCCAAGCACTTAAACAAAACAAAACAAATTATTAGACATTTTGAGCATGTTTTATAGTAATATCAACTGTGATCTTATGCCAGTCAGTGAGAAAGATATATTATTTACCGTAAAATGCTCAGTTCCAGCTTTCATATTCAGACGAAGTATAGTTCTTCTACAATAAAATATAATCTGACTATTGGAAGTGATGACAGTTTTTCTGTGTCATAAAACATTTTCCAATATAGATACCAAGATCATGAAATCCTTGAAAACATAAAGGGGGAATCTGAAAACTTTTTTTTTCTTGTGTTTATTGAAAATTTTTAATTTTTGAGAAATATTTATTTTTTGTGAGTTATAAATCTCAACATAGTAAAGCTTCATATAGTACCTAATCTATTCTCTGAAACATCAATAACATCTGGTACATCTCTTGTAATAGGTAAGTTACTGGTAATTTCATCAACTGTTCTTCTTTTATTACTTTCAATATCATGTATACTCTTTTCAAACTCATAACATGGTAAGGCATTTAAATCTGAAACATAAAGATGCCATTTCATTCACTTTCTACTATGCCTAACATCATAGTTATACTGTGACATAACATGTACTTCTATACGACAACAACAATAAGTTACTGTCAGTCACAAATTGACTCACATACTGACGTGAGACGGAGAAACATAAGTGCCGTGGCTGGCGATTCGTCAATTGGATAAATTTGTGCCTTGCATTCAAATTTCAGGCACCAGGAAAATATTAGGCCTAATATAGTCATTTCTCAGAAAGTGACCTCTCCTGAAACTTTAACATGAAACATTTTTCCCCATTCATTGTCACTTTTGTGTTCGGTAATTATTAAGACAAGACAAGAAAGATTAGATTTAGATACAAAGTGGGGGAGGGGGTGAATAAATTGAAGACTCTTTTGTTTACCCCGAAGTAAATTTTGTTTTATTCTCCTCTGAGCATCACTAAATCGCAACTCTTTTGGCTTGTAGATACAGAATATTCCATCTAGTTTCTTGAAAGCCTTCCATGCCCATCTGAATTTCATTTTTTCAATAATATGTGATGTTCTTTCATGCAGTTATGGAGGCTGACATCTTGAATTTTTAAAATTTATCATTGTCAAGATTGAAATTTCATTGGTATTTTTAGAGATGTTAACGGATAAGGATCAACCTAAAAATTTGAAGAAATGCAAAAAAATTGAAATGAAAATAATTATACTCTCGAAAACATTGAAATGTATAATATATTTTCTAACCCTAGATCACAATTTCGTTTCATGTTTGGCTTCTATTTTAGCAACTGTTCAAATCCAAAACATTAATGGCGTGAGATCACTCGACATCATCTTAGAGGTTTTATATAGTTTCAAGCTAATCTGCCTTTTATCTCGTGATTTGCTACATTTGCAATCCGAGTTCTTTTCTTATATTTCATAAGAATGTGAAGGATTTCGCCCTGTCTCATTCCAATCCTGCCTTTCCATTGGCATTAGGTCTCATTCCTCATTTCCTCATTTGGCCCTTATTTTATACCCAATATAAACAATTTCATTGTAATGAGCATACTTTTACTATTTGCATCCAGCAGGGTCTTAAATGTGCTCTTCTGAAAATATTTTGTTGAAGAAGGGGTCAGGAAATTGAAAGGGGCGCCTAAGAGTCAGGGTGATATACAGAATAATTCTGGGGTTAAATTGGAGGGAGGTAATTAGGATGGGATGATTTGGGAAGACACCAATAAAGGGCCTATCGATATTCCATGCACTAGCCAATCACTAGCCATATAGGCCATTGTTTTGTAATGTTAGCCATAAAGATAAGGCTAATGCAATGGTCTTGGCAAAATCATTGCACATTGAATATCGTTGCCTGTCTTCATTAGCTCTTTCAGGATCAGAAAAGAAGGGTGTAAAACACCATTCAATTTCACTTTTTTTTACTTAATTTATCTTCTTGGTTGTTGTGTTTATATAGTATCTATATCTTTTGTAGAATTAAATTCAACTGTTGGTAAAATGAAAAACATGGATGAAAAAGACATAATATTGAAAAGGTTACATGATTTTGGTAGGTTTTTTCCAAAATATGTTTTAAGTGGACAAAATGAGTAAACATTACTGGAAAACTCTCTTCTCATTATATTTTATAATATAACAGAATAATATGGAATTTGAACGATGTGACTGTAGTGAAATTTTTAAAGAACTAAATGGCATTTATCAATTTTGAGTATGATATATAGGCACAGATTTGTTCCATAAAGTTCTGTATAATAAGACTTAGCTTTAGGCTCCAGTTTGATGGAATAATTCTTTGTTCAATCATTTGGGTTTAGTAGTAGGTGTCATGAAAGGTACTCTCATATGAAAGCGATAGAGACAGATATTGAACTGATTGCTGGAAAAAGTATTCAAATTTGCAAACGTTATTTGTAAAATATATAGTTTTTTCTAAACTTTTAATTAATTAGTTTTTGGAAGTTGATTTTACTGTACTAGTATTTAAAAATTGATATTGCTTCCCACTGTTGAATATGTAATAAATTGATTTTCCTATTATGTGACATTGTTTGAATTCTATTTTTTTAGAGGACAGTATTTGTCTTATATCATATTATTTACATATCATATTAATATTATTAGGTGAAAGTGTGATTGGTAGAAAAACTAAGAAAAAGAAAGTAGAAAATATACAGACACTTCCCTTAGATGAAAAATCATTGTTACAACGGGAAAAAAATCGTAAAAGAAAAAATCGAAGAAAGAGGAGAAATGAAATGAAATCAGAAACAGAAGAATCTAAACCAAAGAAATTGAGTGATATTGAGAAAATTGTGGAAATGTTTGATATTAGTGACCAATTAGTATCTGTAAAAACCAATAATGTTGAAAATAGTGAATGTGAAGTTAAAACAGTACAATATACTGACTTTGTAGATAAAGACATATCTCTTCAACATCAAACAACGTCAAAGAAACCTAAAAATAAAAATTATCTAGAAGAAAAGGAAGTCTTCATATTTAAAGATCCACAGAAAATAGCTAGAAAGGTCTGTAAGAAAAAAGAAACAACTATATTTTACAAAGATAACAACTTATCCTTCAAGGATTATCTTTACCCATTTACAGCTAGGTTGACTGAAATTATGAGTATATTACGGTACCAAGTTTTAAGCCAGTGTGTTTTATCCAATACCAAAAATAATATCATTCTTGAAACTGAATTGAATTGTTTTTTTTCTATAATGTTACTAGAGTATGAAAACTCCACAAGTTGAAATGACATATATTGCTCATATTTTATAATCAATGGGTCTGACAAATGATTCTGTATTCTGAATCCTTTTCATAAATAATCTTCCAGAAAGCCAAAACAAAGCCTAAAGAAAGTGAAAAACAAGATGAAAAACCTGAACAAGATGAACATCCTATATTTGATATGGATGAAGCGAAATTTGAAGTAAGAAAACTTGGTATTACAGGTTTTGAAGAGAATAAACAAGAAGATTCTATAGTAGATTTATTAGTTAGTCTAGGAGCTAAGGTATGGTTTGTATGTTGTATTGGTACGGCATTACTTATTTTGATATATGGTTTAGCAAGATCAACGACCAGTCTCATTTGGTTGCCAAACTATAGCCACATATGTAGTTTGTAAGATGAGCTATTTTTTCTAAAATCTTCACAGGAATAATTGGCCATTATTAATTTTGTCTATATTCTTGTATTAATGAACATTTTGCCCCCCTCCCTCTAAAAATGTTTCGTTTTTTAGCCTCCTAAGAAGAAATATGTCAATTATAAAGAGTTCCAGAAACAAAGAAAAGAAGAAATTATAAAAGATAAAGAAAAGAAAGAAATGGTACATCTTTTAATATCCTTGAACTAATATCTTGAATATTAGTTTAACCTAGATTATTTATATATTCAGTATCATCACTATGATAAATTCTGCAGATCATGCACCTGGATCTAAGTGACAAGCATGTAAGGTCTCGCACATAAGATGTTATTGAATCTAAGCAGTACTGGTAATGTAATATTGTAAGAAAGATATAAGAAATTTGATTATTTACAGAACATTTCCTGCAACATTCACACTCGTTTTGTTTAATGGGGCAAGATGTGGGTTTGTCCCCATAAATTAATTATCTAAAAAAATATTGTTTATTTGTTTACAGGATAGAAAACTTGGTCTTAGAGTTAAAAAAGGAGGTTTTGTTAAAAAGAGGTGGGTATAATGATAAAGAAACACCATGATCAGTTGATATTAAATTGATAACATTTAATGAATGGAAATATTGATTTTATATTCCAATTTGACTTTTAGTGCAGTCTGTGGCAAAATACATTCCAACAAATAATATTACCTACATCATGCAAATGTTATTTAGAAGCCATCTTGAAAATTTTCCTCCATCTTGGATTTTTACATTGTCAATTGGTTAAAAATTCCTTGCCGAGTTTGATGAATGTATCATCATTTGCAAGATTTTTCTGTTATCTCCTAGACTAATTAGATATATTATTGGCACTATCAGGAACACAACATCTGATATCACCATACCTGTTTGATCTATTTTCAGTAAAAAAGATATAAATGATATCAGTATAAGAGATGGACAGATTGGAAGATATGAACATGGTACACAGTATATTAAAAAGAGAGATATAAGACGAAAATAAAATTATTATTAACAACTTGTTATTCTTTTTCTCAAAAAATTCAACATTATAAATTCAATATTTCAGAGTCGGAATATTTTTATATTCTCATCAAATTATTTCAGAGCTGTGTTTGAAATTCTAAAAACAACACAATTCTAATGATCCTACACAAAATCAGTTTTTAATGCCTCAGTCAATACAAATGACATGGATTTGGAGAAATTATATACCTGTATCTGTGATATTTCATTAGAAACACAAATTAATCAAATAGTTAGCTTAACTTGACTATAAAAATAAGGAAATCCATCTTTAAAGATACACTTCCTTTACTTTATGCATATGATTTAAAGATTAATCAAATCTTATATTGGGGGAAATTAAGACTAGTTGTAAAATTCCCTATCTGCATGGCCACTTGCATAGATATTACATTAGTTGTATACCAGGATGCAGTACATGTGTATGTTTCGTGTTTCATACATTTTTAACCCAAAAATGTTTATTATTCTCTCTCATCACTTAGAAGTGTCCACTCAATCAATTTTCAGTGAAGTACTACATATCCTCTTATGATAATATGTAAACAATTTTATGTTAATTCAGAAACAATGTATATTTCTCTTCCCACAATTTAAGGTCATGTATAACAACATCAAGATCACATTTAACACCTTGTAAGAATTCCTCATGATTTAGTAAAACTCAAGACAAGTGTAGGGTGAGAGTTATTCTTGTGCAGAAGACAGACACTCACCAAACTCATTAACTATAGACACCATAATAAAAACGCTCACAAAGCTAAGTACGATAAGAGAAAAAGTTAAAAAAAAAGTTATTCTAGACACGATAAGAAAGGCCTAAGTTATTCTAAACATGATAAGAGGGACGTTAACCAAGCTAAATTATTCTAAACATAATAACAAGGAAGCAACCAAAAGTTAAGTTAAGTTACTCTAGACACGATAAGAGGGACGTTGACCAAACTTAAGTTATTTCAAACATGATAAGAAAGGCTCATTAAACTAATTTATTCTAGACACGATAAGAGAGATGTCAGTCAAACTAAGTTATTCTAGACATTATACGAAAGAGGCTCCCCAAACTAAGTTATTCTTGACACGATAAGAGAGAGGATCACCAAACTAACTTATTCTAGATACGATAAGAAACAGGCTCACCAAACTAACTTATTCTAGACACGATAAGAAAGGATCACCAAACTAAGTTATTCTAGGCACTATAAGATAGAGGCTCACCAAACTAACTTATTCTAGACACGATAAGAAGGGATCACCAAACTAAGTTATTCTAGACACTATATGATAGAGGCTCACCAAACTAACTTATTCTAGACACGATAAGAAAGAGGATCACCAAACTAAGTTATTCTAGATACGATAAGAAACAGGCTCACCAAACTAACTTATTCTAGACACGATAAGAAAGGATCACCAAACTAAGTTATTCTAGACACTATAAGATAGAGGCTCACCAAACTAACTTATTCTAGACACGATAAGAAGGGATCACTAAACTTATTCTAGACACTATAAGATAGAGGCTAACCAAACTAAGCTATTCTAGACACCTTACGAGAGAAGCTCCCCAAACTAATCTATTCTTGACACGATAAGAAAGAGACTCACCAAACTGAGTTATTCTATATACGATAAGAAAGAGGCTCACTAAACTAAGTTATTCTAGACACGATAAGAAAGGGGATCTCCAAACTAAGTTATTCTAGACACTATAAGATAGAGGCTCACCAAACTAACTTATTCTAGACACGATAAGAAGGGATCACTAAACTAACTTATTCTAGGCACTATAAGATAGAGCCTCACCAAACTAAGTTATTTTAGACACGATAAAAAAGGACCACCAAACTGAGTTATTCTAGATACGATAAGAAAGAGGCTCACTAAACTAAGTTATTCTAGACACGATAAGAAAGGATCACCAAACTGAGTTATTCTAGGCACGAAAAAAGAGAACCACCAAACTAAGTTATTCTAGACACGATAAGAAAGGGAATCACCAAACTAAGTTATTCTAAACACGATAAGAAAGGGGATCACCAAACTAAGTTATTTTAGACACGATATGAAAGGATCACCAAACTGGGTTATTTTAGACACGATATGAAAGGATCACCAAACTGAGTTATTCTAGGCACGAAAAGAAAGAGAACCACCAAACTAAGTTATTCTAGACACGATAAGAAAGGGGATCACCAAACTAAGTTATTCTAGACACGATAAGAAAGGGGATCACCAAACTAAGTTATTTTAGACACGATATGAAAGGATCACCAAACTGAGTTATTCTAGGCACGAAAAGAAAGAGAACCACCAAACTAAGTTATTCTAGACACGATAAGAAAGGGAATCACCAAACTAAGTTATTCTAGACACTATAAGAAAAGGGATCACCAAACTAACTTATTCTAGACACGATAAGACGGACGTTAACCAAACTTAAGTTATTTCAAACACGATAAGAAAGGCTCACTAAACTAATTTATTCTAGACACGATAAGAGAGGCGCTAACAAAACAAAATTTTTCTAGACACTATAAGAGAGATGTCAGTCAAACTAAGTTTTTCTAGACACTATACGAAAGAGGCTCCCCAAACTAATCTATTCTTGGCACAATAAGAAAGAGACTCACCAAACTAAGTTATTCTAGACACGATAAGAAAGAGGATCACCAAACTAAGTTATTCTAGATACGATAAGAAAGAGGCTCACCAAACTAAGTTATTCTAGACACGATAAGAAAGGATCACCAAACTAAGTTATTCTAGACACTATAAGATAGAGGCTCACTAAACTAACTTATTCTAGACACGATAAGAAGGGATCACTAAACTAACTTATTCTAGACACTATAAGATAGAGGCTCACCAAACTAACTTATTCTAGACACGATAAGAAAGAGGATCACCAAACTAAGTCATTCTAGATACTATAAGAAAGAGGCTCACCAAACTAACTTATTCTAGATACGATAAGATAGAGGTTAACCAAACTAACTTATTCTAGACACGATAAGAAAGAGGATCACCAAACTAACTTATTCTAGACACTATAAGATAGAGGCTCACCAAACTAACTTATTCTAGACACTATACGAGAGAGGCTCCCCACACTAATCTATTCTTGACACGATAAGAAAGAGACTCACCAAACTAAGTTATTGTAGACACGTTAAGAAAGAGGATCACCAAACTAAGTTATTCTAGATACGATAAGAAAGAGGCTCACCAAACTAACTTATTCTAGACACGATAAGAAAGAGGATCACCAAACTAAGTTATTCTAGATACTATAAGAAAGAGGCTCATCAAACTAAGTTATTCTAGATACGATAAGAAAGGACCACCAAACTAAGTTATTCTTAACACAATGAGAGAAACGCTCACCAACCTATGTTATTCAGGACACGATAAGAAAGAGGATCACCAAACTAAGTTATTCTAGATACGATAAGAAAGGATAACCAAACTAAGTTATTCTAGATACGATAAGAAAGGACCACCAAACTAAGTTATTCTTAACACGATGAGAGAAACGCTCACCAACCTATGTTATTCAGGACACGATAAGAAAGAGGATCACCAAACTAAGTTATTCTAGATACGATAAGAAAGGATAACCAAACTAAGTTATTCTAGATACGATAAGAAAGGACCACCAAACTAAGTTATTCTTAACACGATGAGAGAAACGCTCACCAACCTATGTTATTCAGGACACGATAAGAAAGAGGATCACCAAACTAAGTTATTCTAGATACGATAAGAAAGGATAACCAAACTGAGTTATTCTAGGCACGAAAAGAAAGAGAACCACCAAACTAAGTTATTCTAGACACGATAAGAAAGGGAATCACCAAACTAAGTTATTCTAGACACTATAAGAAAAGGGATCACCAAACTAACTTATTCTATACACGATAAGTGG